AGTTCACTAAATTTGACCTCAGTGCTAGCAGAGCTGCTTGACTATCAGAGTTTATGTAAATTATATGGTTGACGTAGTGTTATTGCAGATTGATTTCCGCACACCGAAGTATGGTGAAAATTTCTGCCTGAAAGATCTGTATCTACTCAAATTCATGCTAAGTTTGAATTGGGGCGCTCCCCGTAAATTCCAAAGCCTACGTCGAGGCCCATTTTAGACCCATCGGTATACCATATGAGGCTACTGACCTCAGAGATAACCTGGCCATTCAGCCAGTCTTCTCTGGAGGGTAATTCCACAATATACTTTTTATCAAAAGTGTGTAGTGGATGCATGATATCTGAGATCATGCATAAGACCGTTGATTCCTTAATTGAGTCGAGCATGGATCTCAATCTGTAGGAGAGCAAGCTCAGACCGCCCTGGACGTTAATCCTATACAAACTAGCCCTCGCCTCCTTGTCTAGATAGAGATCAATGGGTGTTAGGCATAGAAGTGCATTAAGAGCCGCTCCAGGCGATGATCGCATAGCTCCAGTTGCCATTAAGCAGGCAGTCCTTTGTAGACTATTTAGTCTGTCCGCAGTCGTCTTTTGGTTGGCCTTGTTACACCAGACAATAGAGGCGTAGGTGAGAATCGGCCTCACTATGCTGCTGTACAGCCATAGGACCAACTGAGACGCAAGCCCCAGTTGTTTCCGACCAAACGACTTCACGTACCTAAAGCAATTTTTGCCTTATGGTATACGTTGCTAAGGTGAGAGTTCCACGTTAGTTTTTGGTCGATTGCTACGCCCAAGTACTTAACTTCCGTGTAAAATGGTACTTCTTTACCATTAAGTTTTGGTTGGACTAATTTGTTCAACCGTCTCTTTTTGGTAAAGGGTATTATAACAGTTTTATCAGCAAAAACTGATAAACTGTTACCCCTACACCAGTTATTTATGGTGTTTAGGGCTCTTTGTATTATTGACGATAAAGTACTTTGGCAAAAGCCCCTCGCAATGATCACAAGGTCATCAGCATAACCCAGTGTCTCAATGCGTAGGTCTGCCATTTTGTACAATAGTTGGTCAACTGCAAGAGTCCAAAGAAGGGGTGACAAAGCACCTCCTTGTGGGCAGCCTCTTGTAGTTGCAACCTCAATCTAAGTTTGAAACAGCGCTATTTTTGGCTTTCTGTTTGAGAGCATCGACTTCACCCATCTGATGGTTGTGAGGTCAACATTTTTAGATGTCGGGCCCCCAATTAGCAGTGATGTGGGGCTACTGTCGAAGGCGCCCTCAATATCTAGAAAGGCACAAAGAGCTATTTCTTTATCCTCCAGTGCTTTTTCGACCCTGTCAATGACACTGATCAGGGCTGTTTCCGTAGATTTGCCTCTGTGGTAAGCATGCTGGTTGTAATGTATGGGCCTCGTAGCTGGAGCTACATCCCTTATATATCTATCTATAACCTTTTCCAATGTCTTAAGGAGAAAGGAAGATAGGCTTATAGGTCTAACGGACTTTGGTAAAGCGTAATTCTTTCTCCAGCCTTAGGTATAAATAGAACCTTGACAATTGTCCATCGTTCTGGAATATATCCCCATGCAAAACTTGCTCTGAAGGTTTTCACCAGATAAGGAAGAAGGATGTCGATACCCCTCTGTAGTTGGATGGGAATTATTCCATCCTCCCCGCTTGATTTAAATGATTTAAAGGAGTCAACAGCCCATTGCACAAGGTTTCGCCTTATTATCTTTGCAGCCCTACACCAGTCCTCATTACAAGGCCTTCGTAGGTTTCGATTTCGATAGCATTTTCTGTAGTCTTGCACTGCGAGGCAAAGACTCAACTTCCTCGCATAGCTTCCTCTACGATGCTCTCTTGTCTTTCCTAATTTCTTTATTATATTCAGTTAGGGCTGCACTATAAATATCCCACTCTTTGGTTTTCTTAGCCCTATTAAATAGTTTCCTGGTCTTTTCCCTAAGTTCTTTTAGCTTAGTATTCCACCAAGGAAATTTTCGTGTTGAGGTCTTGGTTTTGACGGGACAACTGTCCTCGAAGGTTTCACGAATACCCACGGTTACTTATTAGCATTAGCATCACAACCCACCACAAGTTCGGCGTTGTGTTTTCTGAGTTCTCTCCTCTTATAATATATTACACCACTTTTGATCATTTAAAGACACGAATTTGCCTTTATTTCTGTGGTATTAATATTTTATTCTTACCAAAAACTGCAACACTCATGGCGAATTGATATGAATAACAGCATATCAGAATTCAAATGTCAAAACACAAAACGGTGTTAGCTGTCAACTGTCATGAAGTTATTGATCAATTTATTGACAGACATTTTAATTCTGAAATTCTGTTATTCTTATCACTGATCCTATCAGGTAGATTTATTACGTACAATTGCTTAATTGTCTCGAAACTGGTATGATTCAAAATGTGATTCTATAAATATCCGATATCCACGAAATCAAAATCTTACGTAAATCATGAAGTCCATAAAACAAAAGTAGTAACAGATCCAAAGTCCAAACAAAAAAACCAAATTGCCAAAGAAATACAAAAGAAACTAAATAAACGTATTCACGACTTCACAACTACACGAACAAGCTCATAATAAACAAAAAAAACATCACACTACCTACCATGAAGATTAGAGAACAGGAGAACGATCACCGTAGAAAATAGTGTCCCAGAAATATGGACAACATCAGTGAAGCGTTGCAAAGTTCGGTCAGTAAAAGTCATTTTCAGTCTATTTTTCTGATCAGATGCTAAACCAGTTGCACATCCACCCACAATAAAATATTTCTCCATTTTATAATGTCATCTTGTAAAATCATCAAAAATTGGAATTGCATTTTTACTTTTAGCAAGCAATTTAGGTCGATTTATTCTCTTATTTTACTTTTTATAAAATCACTGAATTTTTCGCTTTTTCACGGTATAGTGTACATAGAGTGGGCCTGAAATGGACCGTCTCCTTTCGCGGCATGCATGAGTTGCGGGGGACATGACAAATACGGGATTGGATATTTCAAGGTTGAACTTAAAATACACTGAACCATAGTAATTTGACGGGGTTTGGGACGTGGATTGTTAAATTTGGGATGTATTAATTATTGATAAATAAATAAATTGAACAATTTTTATTCGAAATTTATTAAAAAATAAAACTATATGGACCGTCTCCTTTGGAGGCAAGCAAGATTTGCGGGGGACGTGTCAAATACGCTGTGATTGGATATTTCAAGGTTGAACTTAAAATACACCGAACCATGGTAATTAGACGGGGTTTGGGACGTGGATCGATAAATTTGAGATTTATTAATTAGTGAGAAATAAATAAATTAAACAATTTTTATTTGAAATTTATTAAAAATAAAACATATATATATATATATATATATATATATATATATATATATATATATATATATATATATATATACATAATAGTAATATATACGGAAAGTCTATACGTCAGTATATTCTATGCGTAGACAGAGAAAACCCATAGACAAATTGACGCCTTCTTTCGCATTCGCATACGAAAAAGATAGATTTATGCATACGTCTTGCATAGAAATGAGACAGTGCGGTGTGATTGTTTGCCCCTTCCTCCGTGCCGGTTTTTTTGTTTAGCAAACTACACTTTGCTAAGCAACTGACAGTTCGTAGCGATCTAAGGAGTTTACAAGTTGGTTTAAGCGAGAAAAAAAGTGTTCTGTGAGCTTAAGATTAGTGAATCTTGTTCAGTTCAGTTCTGAGAACAATTAAAAATGTTATCTAAGTATCTTTAAAAGTCATAAAGATTATTGTATAACCTAAAACTACGTTAACATCCTTTCTCACTCGAGGCTACGCTAATCATTAGTTTATAGGTTTCTCTGTCTACGATTCTATGTTTTTATACGTCTGTGGTACATTCCAAGTCTATGGGAGTTAAGCCTACTTTCCACTATGGGATATAATAGAATTTATATTACATGTCGAGATATAAATTAATATCGCTCACCGTACTTTTAAATGGAACTATTTACACAGAGATGTAATATATATTACATCCCAAACTATAAATATTTTTTCGATCGACCGAGTGATATTTTTATATTATATTTCACCTCCTGCACCCCGGACATCCTTCCGCGCCTCCGCTACATCCTCAGCTAGTCGAATAACGAACACACACTGGTTTAAAGATATATCTCACAGTGTGAAGGGTAATTGCAGGATATAATTTATATCTCGGGATATTATAGGTATTATACCCCATAGTGAAAAGCCTAGTGGTCTGTCCACGGACCACAGCTTTCACAGTCACAGAGACACAGACATGAAGATTAGAGAACAGGAGGACGATCGCCGTAGAAAATAGTGTCCCAGAAATATGGACACCATCAGTGAGGCGCTGCGGTCACTAAGTACAGTCAATAAAAGTCATTTTCAGTCTATTTTCCGATCAGATCAACCACTTGCACATCCACGCACAATAAAATATTACTCCATTTTTTAATTTTCTACGAAAAAATGAAATGAAAATTTTTAAATTATTCAACTAACTTCACCTACTTGAACTCATAAACAGCTAACTTCGCAGTCACTACTCACCGACGTCAGCGCCTCTATGTATTCTACAATTTTCAAGGACAGGCGGGCTATGCTTTAGTACGTAGTGATCGTTTTCCTGTTCTCTAACCTTCATGGACACAGAGTTCCAGTCGGTTCCAGTACATATCTATTTAGCATTTATCTATGGATTTAGTGTTTGTGCAGTACCACAAACTAATAAGAGTACACTGTACTGCGTTTTCTCAGAAGGGTTTGAACCCAGAGCCGAAAAACCAGTTAATAAAAAAAAGTATTAATTTCGTGTTTGGTATTCATGCTAATTTTCTAAATAATTTTTTATTGTATTATATAACAAATTGGTCATAACAAATTACTTTCTTGCAGCGCGATTATTACACTATGGCCGCTTTAATTAAACTTCGTCATATGTCTGTTGTGCAGCGATGTGTTTTTAATCATTTTAATAAATATCGAACCATTACTACCTCTAAAAAGAACAGCGAGTCAGCTTCTGCCACTTGTGATACATCTACTGAAGACAAAAATTGGGTTAGCTATGGATTCGATTATAACAGCAAAGAAGAAGATACAAACGTACACAATGCAACCTTTTTCTTTGCCGTGACTTTATGTCTAGTATTCGGTGGTTTCTGTTGGGCATACAGCCCCGATGTTCATATGAGAGATTGGGCTCAACGTGAAGCATATTTAGAGTTGCGCCGTCGAGAACAGGCTGGACTACCACCGATAAGCCCTAACTATGTGGATCCTGCAACAATTAAATTGCCTTCTGATGATGAACTATGTGATGTTGAGATCATTATTTAATTAGTGATATGATAACGATTGTTATTTATAGCTAATACTGTAAAGGACTAGTAAAACTTCTTATTATTAATTTTTCTTTTCTTTTTTAAATTAATTGCTGTTTAGTAATAATAAAATAAAAATAAGTAAACCATAACATTAATATCATTTAATTTAAATCTTAATATTAGTCACATTTGTACAATTTTTAATTGTACAACTATGTCAAAAGTCTGGGAATGTATGAAGGTTTGCATATTAATGAACTAGATAGGTGGCTGAAAAAATATTAAAAACCACATTTACTTCTGCTTTTTTATTAATCAGTTGCACAATTATCCACCGAGGGCTCAATGGATATTACTATGTATTGGGAAGCACATATGCTCGTGCCATGGCTAATTAATTCTGCATTATTTGTTCCATACTTCTATAATATTTTTGAAAAATTTCTCTAGGCATTAAGCTTTGAATATCATGTATGAAAGTTTATTAAGTAATTTGGTAAATTATACCTTCTTCTTATTTTTTATTAAGCTCAGTATAAAGTTAGTACTTCCTTATCATGGCAGTTATAATTAATAAGTAGAAATGAGTGCTGTAAAAAATCAACCTATACACAAGTAAATGTACATGCACCTCTATTGACCAGACTTTTTAAAACACAACTTAACAGTTGGTATATTAAAATAATTGTAATATGCGCTAGGCCTATGTGAGTGTTTAAAATTAATTTATGAATTTGATAAAATAAATTCACAATGTTAAAGTGGTATTCTCTACAGTCTACACCGTTTACTGCTTCTGACCAAAGGAATAGCAGTTGATATTTGTCATAATAAATTTATTAAAATATAACATTTTATACCCTGTCTACCTGCATCCCTTAATTAGATTATTTGGATTTTTTTCCAGATATTCTTTACTTTGTACCTTCAACGAGGCTAATTTTATTACGGGGTAAACTATAGACGTCCGGTACTCGCATATGGTGTTGAGAGGGGGGAGGGGAGGGGGTCATGGGGTGCCACCCTACCCTTCTCCCGTTGCAGAAATGTATAGTTTATAAGTAATAATTTTTGTAAAATCATAACCCCACTTTTTTATACAGGAATATTGAAGCAAAGTTTCTTCTGCAACGGCTTCGGCACATCGGGAAGTGCAGCCCCTTCGCCCTTGCGTAGCAAATCACAGGCACCCTTGCTCTCCTCCGCAGCTCCGGCTTATTGGGCGACCAGCCTCAGCCGCTACGGCTCACTTAGGTGCCTGCGATTTGCTACAGCGGGCGGGAGCTGCTCGCCCTCTGTGCCTATGGCTTTACAAAAACAAACTGCTGCTAAAAAATGTTATAATTTTGTTCTCTGAAACTCCTCTTGACTGCTCTCCACTGCGACTCAATTTATATATATATATATAAAGTTTTCACTTATATATAAAGTTTTCAGTTTCAAGTTTTCAGTTTTCGTTTCCAGACACAAATGGATTGTATGGTATGAGTGTATCTTTGTTAAATAAACAAATTGACATATTTGCATTTCGTTATATGCAATTAAGTGCCGTGTAGTGGCAGTTAAGAATATCCACTACCCCATATCTTCCCATGGGTGTCGTAAAAGGCGACAGAGGGAAACAGGCAGGAGATGGGCAGCAGCATCTTCCTGATAACAGCAACTGTACGACAAAAAAAAATTGCGGTTGCCAACCCGCTCGCCAAGCGTGGCAACTATGGCAATATACCCCCCATGAACAATTACACAAATAGACTGCCCCCAGTCCCCGGCGGCCCCGCTATTCCTGGCTACGGTGGCGACCATGGTAACGGCGGGGCAGGGGGTGCTAAGAATCTCAGGTAGAGGTTCGGTTGCCACCTACGACGACTCGACCTGGCAACCTTTTAACGCACGCACCCTGAGGACTGACGAGAAGATCCTGGAGCTGGAAGAAGAGATAGACAAGTTGCGCTGGAATATTACAGGATTATCCGAGGTCCGAAGAGAGGGGGAGGACACGGTGATTCTCGAATCCGGCAACTTTTTCTATCACCGGGAGGGCGACCATCTGTCCCAAGGAGGTGTCGGATTTATCGTCCACAAGTCTCGTCAACGTTTTAAAGATTGGGAGTGTGTCGACGAGGGTCGCGTATCTGATACTCAGAATCACCAAACGGTATTCGCTGAAGGTCATACAGGTTTACGCACAACCTCGGCACATCCCGATGAGGAGGTGGAGGAAATGTATGAGGATATTTCCAAAGCCATGCATACCTCCAAAACCCACTACACGGTGTTGATGGGAGACTTCAACGCAAAACTAGGCACAAGAGAAAACGGTGAGCTGAAGTTAGGGAAATTTGGAGTAGGGCAACGGAACCGAAGGGGCCAGCAGCTGGCCGACTTTATGGAGAAAGAGGGACTCTTTATGATGAACTCTTTCTTCCAGAAGCGGCCCCACAGGAAGTGGACCAGGTCGAGCCCCGACGGTTCGACAAAAAATGAGATTGACTTCATTATGACGACCAGACGCCAACTGTTCAGTGATGTCTCAGTGATCGCAAGGGTGAAAACTGGCAGTGATCACCGAATGGTTAGAGGCACACTGAACCTAAACGTTAAGTTAGAGAGGTCTCGTCTAATGAAGTCAACGCTCCGTCCCCCTCGTGCTCTAATACGGAATCTCGAAAACTTTCAGCTCGACGCTTACGTAACCGCTTTCAGTGCCTACAAGATTGCAATGCAGTGGACGATATGAATGACAAGCTCGTGGAAACTGTCCATGCGGTCGGAGCTAAGTTCTGCAAGACCCGCCGCAGAAGAACACAAAAACTCTCCGATCATACTCTTAATCTCATGGCTGTTAGACGGGAGATGAGGCTGCAATCGTCAACAGATTTGACAGCATACAGGCAACTGAACAGACAGATCTCCAAATGCATGCGGCGAGACATACGCAACTTTAATACTGCTCGTATTAAAGAAGCGATCGAGCGGAACCAGGGCTCCAAAGTCTTTGCCAGAGATCTGTCTGCCAGTAAGAGCCAACTGTCAAAGCTGAAGACTGAGTGTGGCAGCATCGTTTCCGGGACACCTGCGATTTTGAGTGAGATTGAGAGGTTCTATGGGCAGCTGTACACATCATCGTTGGAGCCACACGCAAGTGTGAGTAACGATCCAGGAGCAAGTCTTATCCGACACTATTCCGATGATATTCCGGATGTCAGTCTAAGCAAGATTAGAATGGCTCTCCAGCACCTTAAAAACGGCAGGGCCCCAGGCGAGGATGGAATTACAGCGGAGCTTCTGAAAGCGGGTGGAACACCGGTACTTGAAGTCCTTCAGAAGCTGTTCAATTCCGTCCTCCATGGTGGCACTACTCCAGAGGCGTGGAGCAGAAGTGCGGTGGTCTTGTTCTTTAAGAAAGGCGACAACGCTCTCTTGAAGAACTACAGACCGATTTCCCTTCTGAGCCGCGTCTACGTGCTGTTTTCGAGAGTCATTACGAATCGTCTCGCACGCAGACTCTACGACTTCCAGCCTTGTTCGGGAGGCTGGAAGTCGTCGAGTTTCGAGTCGTCGAGCCGGTTTCCAAAAAGGCTTCAGTACCCTAGACCACATACATACCCTGCGTCAGATTGTACAGAAGACTGAAGAGTACAATCTGCCACTTTGCCTGGCGTATGTGGACTATGAGAAAGCCTTTGAATCCGTCGAAATTTGGGCGGTGCTACAGTCCCTTCAGCGGTGCCAAGTTGACTGTCGGTATATCGAAGTGCTGAAGTGTTTATACAGTAGGGCTACGATGGTTATCCGAGTACAGAACCAGCGCTCGAAACCTATCCAACTGCAGAGAGGTGTAAGACAGGGTGACGTTATATCCCCGAAACTCTTCACCGCTGCATTGGAAGACGTTTTCAAGCTACTAGACTGGAAAGGATACGGTATTAACATCAATGGCGAGTACATCACTCACCTTCGATTTGCCGACGATATAGTCCTTGTGGCAGAATCGCTGGAGGACTTAAGCACTATGCTCAATGACCTCAATAGTGCCTCCCATCGGATAGGTCTTAAGATGATCATGGACAAAACAAAGATTACGTTTAATGCCCATGTCACACCTATGCCGGTATTCGTTGGGAGCACTATGCTCGAAGTTGTTGACGAGTACGTTTACCTGGGACAAATAGTCCGACTAGGTAAGTAAGGTAAGCGTTCGGGAAATTACGACATATCTTCTCGTCAGGTACTTATACCTCAATCTCTAAAAACTAGATTGTACAACCAGCGCGTGTTGCCAGTGATGACTTACGGATCTGAGACGTGGTTCTTCACTGCTGGCCGTATGAGGACGCTCAAGGTCGCTCAGCGAGCTATGGAGAGGGCTATGCTCGGAGTTTCTCTGCGTGATATACTCAGAAATGAGGATATCCGCAGTAAAACCAGAGTGACCGACATAGCCCAACCGATTAGTAAGCTGAAGTGGCAATGGGCCGGCCATATAGCTCGAAGAACCGATAACCGATGGGGAAGAAAGGTTCTCGAGTGGCAGCCTCGTACCGGTAGGCGTAGTGTAGGGCGACCCCCCACTAGATGGAGTGACGACCTGGTAAGATATGCAGGAAGTCGATGGATGCAGGTGGCTCAGGACCGTGCTTTGTGGCATTACTTGGGGGAGGCCTATGTTCAGCTGTGGACTTGTGAAGGGCTGTAATGATGATGATGATGATATGCAATTTAAGTGAAATTTATTTTTATCGTAATTAATTCAAAAGGCATTTCCGAAATCCACAAAGCAGTGTAAATGGTTCGAGCTTAACCCTGACAATCTTCCTAAATTGAAAACAAAATTAAAAAATCAAGTACCGGACATCTACTTCATAATACGAGAACAAATTGGCATATTTGCGTTTCGTTATAACACAATTTTTAGAATGTTTTTATCGTAATTATTTCAAAACGCATTTCCGACATCTAAAAACAGTGTAATAGGTTCAAGCTTAACCCTAACAAGCCTCCTAGAAAACA